AAAATTCACTGATATATTGTTGTTCCACGTATCCCAGCGTGCTCGCCATCTCAAAAAGGTAAAGTTTGGTACCACTGAATCTTGAGTAAGATTCGTCACCTACTATAAAATGTTTTATGTTTCCCACTCATTAGCAATCATATGTACAACTTGCAAGCGGATTTCCAAATGATTATTCTGGTGGCCGTATAGAATAAATTATATTGATCAAAACAATAAGTTTCCGTTCCCTACTATGGGTATTATTTCACATTCCATACTCAAACTTAAACTCAATTACCACTTTCCTTCAGATCACTTAGCAGGCAAACTAAAACTTTCAAAAATAAGTTAACAAATACACTTTCCTTGATCAAAATCGTGTGTTTATAAACAATAACTCCAAGTTTAATAATTTCATACTGAAAGTTAGGTTATAAAAATAATAACAAATGTCTGACAAACATTAAACAGCTGACGAATAATTTATAAACTGTGTATTATATTCTTCAATAAGAATTGTATTGACTCGACCTTTAAAGGGCTGTAGGTCGTAGCCCTTAGAAAAAACGTAAATTCTAAGGAAGTTCGGCAAATCTACACACTATCCCCTTTAATTTGAGACATAAATCTTGTAGATCGGTCCAGTAATTACTGAGAAAACAGTGTTACAACTGTGTATTAAATATATAGATGCTACATTTTGCCCTAAGCAGATTTTTGTCAGGGTGATGACTATTGGCAAAAAGAATGCCATAAGTACTGATGCACATTTTAGCGAATTTCCCTATAGAGAAGTAGCTATTACCGTAGGTGGCACGGTAAGACCTAGACCCGGGACCGATTTACTTTTTCATTTTGATGTCCCCAGAGGCCAAAAACACCATCCGTTCAAATTTTTATATATGTATTAAATATATCTCAACAATATTAATAAGAAAATTAAATTCACCAAAGAAACCCAACAAAAAGAAATCAATTTCCTAGATCTAACAATTTCCATCCAAAACAACAAACATTCTTTTAACATATTCAGAAAACCCACAACTACAGACATAATAATTCCAAAAAATTCGAATCATCCATGGACACACAAAATTGCAACTTTTCATTCATTAATACACAGATTAGTCAACGTTCCTTTAAATAAAGAAAATTACAAGAAAAAAGTCAACACTATAAAATATCTAGCTGAAAAAAATTGATATAGAAGCAAAATGATTGATAATATAATCAAGAAGAAAATTAAAAAAAGAAATGAATTAAAATCAAACCTAGAAAACAATTCGAAACACAAAGAAGAAAAGAAATTCATGTGCGTCCCATACAACAACAATTTTAACAAAGCAATCAGGAAAACATTCAAACATACCCCAGTAAAATTAAGCTACAGAACAAAAAATAACATTTTTAAAATCATACACAATAAAACCAACAATCCTATAACAAACAATACAGCAAACATATACAATGCATCTGGTATCTACAAAATTAAATGTTCTGACTGTGACAACTACTACATTGGACAAACCTATCGAAATTTTAAAGTTAGATTCAACGAACATATACAGGCATATAAATCGAAGAACAAAACATCAATGAAATCAAATTTTGCAGATCATTTACTAAAATCCAAACATAAGTTTACTAAGATCGAAGAAAACTTAACAATATTAGAAATTGAAAAATACAGAGAAAAATTGAATGTAAAAGAAGAAATTAATATTTATATGAACTACAAAAATAACAAATCAAATATTTTAAATACAATGATTCCAAAATTGAATAATCCAATATATGAAACAATAACAAAACTGAGAAAATATTAATGAAAATAAGTACAACACATCATATAGTATATAAATTAATCAATGAAGACAAAATTATGATACAAGTTAGAAAAGTTTTATAATATCATATGTTATTTATTTATTTACATATCTTATTTTGATTTTTGTTTACTTTGGAAATGGCCTTAGAGCCGAAACTATAGTCAGTAAATATTCTAATAAATAATTTTACTTGGGTACTAAGTTTATTAATGTTTAATCTTTATATATATATATATATATATATATATATATATATATATATATATATATATATATATATATATGGAATTAATGAATCTTAACAGCTGTTTCAATTAAACAAGTTGGTTCTCTTCTATGATGTTCAATAGCATTAAAGTTACAAGGATTACCAACAGGGTGCGGTGCAGCACTATTATTTCTTTTACATTTATGACAACAGCTAATTTGCAACCAAAAGGTGAGTGAGCATAGCGAACGAACTTCAACCTGGAGGCGAGTTAGCGTAGTGAACGAGGTAACCTGAAGGCAAGTGAGCGTAGCGAACGAGCTAACCTGAAGGCAAGTGAGCGCAGCGAACGAGCTCCAACCTAAAGGTGAGTGAGCGTAGCGAACGAGCTTCAACCTAAAGGTGAGTGAGCGTAGCGAACGAACTTCAACCAGAAAGTGATTGAGCCATGCGAACGAGTTTATGAAGATTTTGATTACTTAAACAGACGAATAATTTGTATTAATTGTATACTACAACAGCTGTTCGTAGTAAACACATGATATACACAAGAGCGTTCGTTTTCAGACTGAGTTCGTTTTCAGTTTCGATAACTGTAGTGGAGTGCAAAAATGCAAAATTGCAACTTTTCATTCATTAATACACAGATTAGTCAACGTTCCTTTAAATAAAGAAAATTACAAGAAAAAAGTCAACACTATAAAATATCTAGCTGAAAAAAATTGATATAGAAGCAAAATGATTGATAATATAATCAAGAAGAAAATTAAAAAAAGAAATGAATTAAAATCAAACCTAGAAAACAATTCGAAACACAAAGAAGAAAAGAAATTCATGTGCGTCCCATACAACAACAATTTTAACAAAGCAATCAGGAAAACATTCAAACATACCCCAGTAAAATTAAGCTACAGAACAAAAAATAACATTTTTAAAATCATACACAATAAAACCAACAATCCTATAACAAACAATACAGCAAACATATACAATGCATCTGGTATCTACAAAATTAAATGTTCTGACTGTGACAACTACTACATTGGACAAACCTATCGAAATTTTAAAGTTAGATTCAACGAACATATACAGGCATATAAATCGAAGAACAAAACATCAATGAAATCAAATTTTGCAGATCATTTACTAAAATCCAAACATAAGTTTACTAAGATCGAAGAAAACTTAACAATATTAGAAATTGAAAAATACAGAGAAAAATTGAATGTAAAAGAAGAAATTAATATTTATATGAACTACAAAAATAACAAATCAAATATTTTAAATACAATGATTCCAAAATTGAATAATCCAATATATGAAACAATGACAAAACTGAGAAAATATTAATGAAAATAAGTACAACACATCATATAGTATATAAATTAATCAATGAAGACAAAATTATGTTACAAATTAGAAAAGTTTTATAATATCATATGTTATTTATTTATTTACATATCTTATTTTGATTTTTGTTTACTTTGGAAATGGCCTTAGAGCCGAAACTATAGTCAGTAAATATTTTAATAAATAATTTTACTTGGGTACTAAGTTTATTAATGTTTAATCTTTATATATATATATATATATATATATATATATATATATATACACATTAATACGTCCGTGAACGCGATAACTTGAGTAATTTTTGTCTGATTTTGATGAAATTTGGTTTAAAGGTGTAAAGCGGGATAAACTTGAATGAGTTCGCGAACCAGCACGATCGGACCATGGGAACGGGGCTTTACGGGGGGTTTTATGGGGTAAAAATTGGTTTTTCTCACTTTTGACCCTCAAAACACAAAATTTCCCGATTTCTCTTTAGACCTTTTTAAAGAGCTTAAAAAAACAAATAATTTAGTATATAAAAGTATTTTCGTTCGATTATTAGTAACGGAGAAAATTAAAAAAAATTGTAAATTTAAAATTCCCATGTTATTCTTATGGAGAATATTGTCAAATGTTGTAGTTTGCTTGTTTATGGATATATTTTGATCAAACTTGGCAAATTTATTTATTTTGTACTAAGCTATCTATATTTTACTTAAAAAACACACTTTATTAGTTTCCTTGTAGCAGCAAACCTAGGCACTCGTTAAACCTAATGTTATTAAAATATATTTAACTGAAAATCAATTCAGACAAATGGAAATTCGCTTAGTCGGCAGGTTTGCTGCGGCGGGGGTATTTATATTGATACAGTAGTTAGTTATCAGTACGGTGGAGGAAATTGATATGTAGGCATATATAGTTTGAAACAAGTTTTGGATTTGGGACTTTGGGAGTGATTAAATAAGTTTAATTTTTACATTTTTTCTAATATTTCTTGATTTTGATTAGTTGATATCAACTTACGGTATACCTTGAAAAAGTATAATACCAGCTATGAAATAATATCAGAAAAGTCAGGGAATTTTATTTAAAAAATTTAGTACCAACCCTGTCATACAAACCAAATCTGGGACTAAATTACTGTATTGGCTTAAGAGTTTACTATGACTTTCAGTCCTTCTTAAAGTCACAGATCAAAGTGTTGTCGACCATTAGAGTTTTAGCCAAATGGAAATACTGTTCAGCTAAATTCAAATTGGTTGTCGTGATAACTAATACAAGCAACTTTGTTGTACCTCAAGTTAAACCCTTTCCATTTTCTACATAGTGTCATAGAGTCCAATTAAGACTATTTTTGAAATAGCCTAATATTTTTTTGCAGGTGTTCAAAAGGTTAGCTACAAACTAAGTAAAACCACAGTAAGAGCCATAGCCTATTTATCACTCAATTTATAAGTTAAAAAAGCTAGTCGTTGTCTATTAAGTACCTATTGAAAGCAAGGAATCACAGTATAACTGACGTCTAGGTGCAAGGGCTAACAACCCATGTTTCATTTTGTAACTGCTAGACAATTGGTGTGGATCAAGTGGATGGGCATCTGTGGCAACCATTGTATTGATATCTCGGTGGTGGTTTGTTGCAGACGCAGACATGGAGACGGATCTGTATGATAGTTACTGTGCCAGTGAGGTGGAGGAGGACTTTTACGCTCCACCTAAAGTGCTCAAGGTTAGTAGCTATAGCTGTAACTGAACCACTAGGCTAATCTAATCAAATGTCTTGTTACAATAGTAGGTTAAGTTACCTGGTGTATAGCCAAGTGATCATGTTCTTGTAGTTTGTTAGACTACCATTGTTCAATATTACTTATGTAATTTTGATAATTAATCAAGATTAACTTGGATTAAAATGAGACACCATGCGTAAGCATTTAAGTAGTTTATTACATCATCTTGAGTTCTGTCTAACATGTGTTTAGCTACAAAAATAGCAAACCGGACACCACAGCCTTATGTATATAATAGAGTCCTTTAATAACATGGGTACTGTATAAAGTTATTATATAGGCTATACTATTATGTAACAACCATGGTTTCTAAGACTTGATGCCTTCATTGTCATGTCCTCTTCAACCAAGAGGGTGTGAAGATTTGAGGAACAAAACACGTATCACGAACACATTTAAACCATTTACAAAATAGCGTGGCTACGCTTAACGAACAGGTCGGCCATGCTATTTTCTAAATTATTTATGTGTTTGACAAATCTCCACACCGTCCTGGTTGAGAAGGATTAATGACTTTTAATGTCCTGGTAGTCATGACAATGAAGGCATATAAAGTCTTCGGAACCCTCGTAGCCTATCAAACTACAAGAACAGATCACTTGGCGATACAACAGGTAACTTAACCTATAATAATTGTGTAATCAAAGTGATCCGACGCCACGATGTAAATGTCTCGCTACTGTTATTGATTAGATTTAATTTTAATTTAAAAATGTTTCTTTTTAAACCAAAAATATATTTGTCCTATAGTCTCCCGACAAAGTGGGCTTCCTTGCACTGATAATAGTACAGAAAGCTCCTAATTGCTACATTTACTTACTTTGGCACACACTTTTTACTTTGTCGCACACCAGTATTCAAACCAAACAACTCAAAACCGCGTGCTTTTATTATGCACGTAATCCGTGTACGCTTTAAGAATTTCAGAACACTTGGTAGCAATTCTAAACAATCCATTCTTCATTTCAACTGTTTCTGGATTAATATTTTTAGTTTTCTTCTTACATTTATGACAATGAATGGGTTCTTCCATTTAGATATAAAAATTTTTATCTATAAATGGATGCATGTTATTGATGTCATAATTTTACTAACTTTACAATTACATATTAAAAATTATGTAGGATGTAATATGTGTAAAAGAATTATTTCTGAGAGAAATATTAATAGACGAAAAAATAAGAACAAACATCTTACAAATATTTTAAGGGAATTTAATCATTTTCAACCATATCGTACACAACAGTTAATTAATGAAATCTATACATTATGTATGTTAGATAATAGTTTTGAAATAACACCCAAAAATATAAAATTGTTCTTAAAACAAAGAAATTATACAAACTGGATATTTTACTATCAATTCTTAAACAAAATATTCTACATTAATTTCAAATTGAGTTTTGAAGACAAGAAAAATATTACTGTAATTATTTTTAATGCATATTTTAGTTTTACAAAAAGAAATATTTCATTTATGAAATTGTTACCAATGATTTTCAAACTTTAAGAATTGGATTTTTATATAAAACCCGAATTTGACACACATTTTCTAAAATTCTTAAACCATTTATAACCATTTATATAAATAAATCAACATAATGGTTCTTCTGTAAACATAAAGCTTACTTCAGATAACTACGTAAAAAGATTTTCCATAATAAATGGATCTACTAGAAGAGATTAATAATATTGGAGAATGCAAATTCAAAGAATTTAAACCATTAAAAACTTAAGAATTGAATACAAAATATAAGATTGAACAATTTGAAAAAGTTAAAGATAAATATAGACCGAAAATTATTGTTGAATTAGAAGAATGTAAAGTTCATTTGCCTCATAGATTTATTGGTATTTTAGATGAAAAAACAATTAAAGAATTAAATAAAAAAGACTTAAACTTAATTATTACCGAAATCAAAACATTTAAAGATAAAGTAACTGTTTTGCTTAAATTTGAATAACTTAAATAGAAATATTAGAATTTTTGGTTGTTTTAAAAAACGTTTTGTTTTTAAAATTTGTCAAAATATTAAAAATCTTAAAAACTAATATCTTAAGGTAGAAAAGTCTTGTAAAATCACATTAAAGTTCTGTTAAAACACTGATAGAATTTTGAAGGAGTAACCACACAGTTGGACGGATTGCTATAGAATGGCCTCACAACACTACCAGCCACAAGCATATATATCATTACAGTGCTGCCAACTGAAAACACAAAATATCTACCAATGATCTGCTTGAGTTAGTTTAACAGTAAAATGACGCTAATAATTGACTTAGGTGGATTTTTTGGTGAATATTCCAGTGTATACATTTCTGTTAGAAATAAGAAGATTTGTTAGTTTTTAAGAAAATTAAGTATTTTGTATAAATTATGCTAAAACTAGGTAATATTGTTCAAAATTTTTTGTTTTTAGGGTAAAAACTGAGAATTTTTACTTGTTTTTAAAAACTTTTGTTTTGTAGACAATTTTTATGGAAATTTAGGCATATTTATAAAGTTTTTATCAGTATTTTAGGTCTTTTCTAATAATGTTGAAAATTGGCCTATAAGAGGCAAAATTTTAACTTATTAGTGCTGAAAACCCGGAAATTTCATTAAATTATTGAATTCGTACTTTTTGGGCCTAGGAGTGACATGTATTCATCTACTTATTTTATTAAACGATGGTTTATTTTTCTATCAATATTAATTACAGTAGCCCTACAAGTGAACATTATCAAATAATTCATATGTGTCCGTTAGCACGATACCTCGAGCAAAAATTATGAAATTTGGTACAAACGTGTAAACTTACATTTGTTCCAACGAGTTCTGGTGAACTCGACCAATCGACATTTTCTCAATCCTGTCCAGATTTGGCAATCCAGTCAGAAATAATTCTGCATGGATCCATTCCATATGATTAGCAAAAGGTAATTTTTAGACTTGCCTGCTTTGAGAGAATTTCACGAATAGTTTTCACCCTATATCTTATAAGGTCTGTTTTCTTAATTTTTTACATTTAACATATCAAAAGCATTGTATTCAAGCAAATGTTCTACTTCAATTATCTCAAAACATTGCCAGGAAGTAGTTGTTCGTGCGTTTCGTGAGTTTATTGCTGGTCTTCATTTTCTACAAATATCAGGCAGTTTTTTAGAATACATTCTGAAATTTTCCCTAATATGACACTCTGCGAATTGGGTACTTCTTGTCAAAAGAAAACATAAAAAACAACTTTAGGCTTACTTACTTGGCCAACTATACAGGGTGATCAACTCAAGGAGGCCACCATTGGGATATTGGAAATCCCTTAGCACCCATCACATAATCAACCACTCAATGACATTGCACTTCGGATTGGTTGACTTTTACCCGCGAACCAAGAGTTTTTGCTCTTGGATGATTGTATTTTTCATTTTTTATCGTAAATATTAGGTTATGGTGAAAAGACAGTTTTCTCATCTGTGGCGAGAACGTGTTCATCAAGTTCATGGCGTAGTCGGCAAGACATAGTCAAGACTCAAGTGAGTCAAATGCAGAGATAACTGCTTCCTCGGTGCAAAATATACAGAGATGAATGGCTAGCTTTAACACGTGATGGACGACTCAGTGCGTGTAGCAGTGAGGGTTTGGGTTGGGGTTGTGTTGAGATTTGTCGTGATATGCCTACTTGTAGGGAGACACGCATCATGCACGGACGCACGGTGGACACAACGTCTGTCTGCGCCCAACGGAAAATAACCGATATCCCGGACACTCACCCTCACAGGAACTACACCTTGACAATACGTAAGATGATGAGGACTGGCTCTTCACCACCTCCCTCACCCCACAACTGTTGGGGGCTGGTGAACCAAGGTTGCTCCGTGCTCGACGGAATGGATGTAACAAATACAAATAAAACAACGCAACATTGTGGTTTATCTGAAAATCCCTGTTATTAAGTTACATATTTATATTTAATTTGAAACATTCAAATATATGTATAAACATTAATCAAATATGCAAACGTTAACTGATTATTGATTGACATTTCGTATTAAATTAACAGAAATTCTAAGATAAATCACAAAAACGCATGGATTTAGTTGCATTTGATATAAATACCTGAATCCGTCGTCGCGTTCCTTACGACACTCATATTTTGAAAATCGAAATGTTTTGTCTCAGTGAAAATAAGTATGTGGGGAGAATAAATACTTGTAAGATAAAAAAAAACGTGGGGCGCATGCTGTTTACAATTATCTTTACCTACTGAACTAGTATTATCTATTGCATGCACCCCACGTTTTTCGTTTTAAATCTATTAAGCATTTATTCCCTCCACATATTCATAAATTATTTTTACTTTTTAGTGCTTTTAAAAACGTGGCATTTAAAAAAAAGTATTTTTATTTATAACTTATTTTCTACTTTTTAAACTTTAATGTGTAAATATGTTAAATCTATTGTATATGGCCTGTTAATATATACCAAACCCTTATTATCTGTAGTCATATGTTTTATATTTCCGTTGAACTGCTTATTTTATATTTAGAATCTCTCGGGAGCAGAACCTGTGCCTCTACCCAAGCTTTTCGAACTGTCAAATTTAAGTATTTACGGCTGGCTTCAAAATGTAAACATGGAAAATTTGGAAGCCCATGGGGCCAAGCCCAAGGAAAATATGAAAATTAAATGATATAGTATTACATTGTCATCCATTTGTGAGCTGTGTTCTCTAGTTTCATTTCTCTAGCTCGTCGGGAAGTTAGTTTAAAATTTATTGCAAAGTTTGTACCGGACAAGAAAGCGAGCAAATAATACCCCGCCGCAGCAAACCTGCATACTTAGCGAATTTCCATTTGCCTGATTGGATTTAAACTAAAATGTCTCCTTAAAAATATCACACTTATTCCCTATTTAAACAGAATTAGTTTAGTGAGTACTTAGGTTTGCTGCAACAGGGAGGGT